TTCGTTTTACCAATGTTTACAGACAACCTCCATCGAGAGCACCAGTCAGCCACACAATCTAGCAGTTGCTGTAAACAGAGTTCGTCGGGTGCAAGGAGAGCTATGTCATCTGCATACAGTAACGTACTAAGCATAAGGTCGTCTATTCTAATACCACATGAGAGACTGTTTCATCTACTAAGTCATTAATATACAGTGAAAACAGCGTTGGTGACATCACGCAGCCTTGACGGACACCAGACATAACTGGAAATGGGTTTGTAAGAAAGTTGTTGACACGGACGCTAGACCAAGTGTTAGCATACATTGCTTGTATAGCGTCGAGGAATCTACCCCGAATCCCAATTTGTCTAAGCTTATACCACAGGCAATCAAGGTTTACTTTGTCAAAAGCTTTTCGTATATCAATAAAACAAACATGTAGACTGGCGTGTTGACTTTCTGTTACTAATGACAGAGTGTAGACTATAAATATGTTCAGTGGTACTACGTTTAGCACGGAAACCATTCTGTTCAACTGCTAAAGCATAATTATATTCCAACCAGTTACTTAAATGAGTGTTTTAAAGTATCACAGTAAAGTTTGCATGGTACAGGAATGAGCAATATACCTCTATAACCCAAAGGATCTCTTGGGTCATTATCTGGTTTACGTATTGGATTAATAATGATTGAACACCAAACATCTGGACAAGTACTGTTGTCATAACAATAAGTAAACAACCTAAAAAGAATGTCAATACACGATCGGTTCTTCAGGCACTCAGCTGGTATAGAGTACAGGCCAAACGCGTTTCCTCGTTTTGCACGAGCAACAGCTGCCTCGACCTCTGCCAGGGAGATGGGTTTGTCCAGGTCACTAGTGTCAGGTGTAACGTCGCATGGCACACTCTTGTCATCCAATGCCTGACGCACGTGTGTCAGGTGTGGGTAACTTTGACTTGAAGGAGACGTGTCCACAAACGGTGCACTGTAATCTTTTTCCCACTTATTCAGCACATTACGTTTATGAGTTGATATCACATCACCATCTACAACCTCCCATGGAACACTATTTTCACGATCGCTAGCCACACCAATTTTGCCAATGTACTTCCAGAATGAACGTGAATCCCCAAACTTATGTTGGTCGAGCAGCCGGTGTTGTTCATCACGCTGATACGAGCTTTACACTTCCGCAACAGTTTATCAAATATTTTTCTCTCCGTCGTAAACCGGTGCCTCAGAGTCTTGCGTTGAACAGGCGATTTACATTTGAGCCACTGTCGTTCTGCCTTGTCCCACTGAGTCTGTAGCTCCTCACACCAGTAGGACTTATTACGAGACTTGCACGGTTTTTGGTGACATGTCCGTTGTCGAGGGGTTATTAATGCAATTTTATCCAGTTCTAAATGATTCAGTGAGGTAAACTCACCGTAGGCAGAGTTGATGTCTTGGTTTATCGAGTCTTGGTTTATCGACAGCCGAGACTCGATCTCCTTGATTGCGAGGTCAACTGAAGCAGCAATGTCATCTCCCTGCAGAAACGATCCAGGAAGTTTAGCTTGGTTGTATAGCGTTCTATATGTCCCGTGTCTGCATTGAGTGTGTCCTCTGTTGGGGTACTATGGTCACCACGGAACGTCGGAAGATGAATCTGCCACGTCAATACAGAGTGGTCAGGGATTGTGTCCGGCACGTTGGTCCCGTGAACCAGTGTTGACATCCTTATCGCGTTGAAGTCGGAAAAGTTACACAGTGTTTCGTAGGCGGTAATTGCATAGTCGACGACAGATGAGCCATTCTTAACATACGTATAATCATCCGTGCCGACACGCCCATTTAACACGCGTAAGTTTGTATTAATGAGAAAGTCAATGAAAGTGTTACCGTGCGAATACTCCCGGTGGTCGATCACCTGTTTCTCGCGAATGGAGTCAACCCCCTCGATGTAGTCGTGGTTAGATCCACTCCTTGCGTTGAAGTCTCCACACAGGCACACGATACCTTCATTTTGATACATGTAGATCTTCTCTAACAGAGTGTCAAATAAAAGTTCTGCATCATTTGGCCGAGATGAACATGATGGTGGGAGGCAGCAAACGCACAGTACTATTGAGAAACTGCTATCATGTCTATATGTCAGTTTAAACCAGATAATGTCCTCTTCTTCATCATCTAACACTACGATTAAAAAGTCATTAAAAAAGTGTATTTCTAAAAAGTGCACCTACACCCCACGACCCGCGTTTGGCACGTTTATGAGTAGTTTTCCTGTTATTCCGACACCAGGTGAATCCGTCCACGTATAGCTGATCTTTACCTTGAAGGAATGTCTCACTTAATCCAAATCACAGTTGAGATCAGAGATGACTGTTTATCTGAAAGTACTGTTCACGGAGTCTTTCCGACCCCAGCCCCCGGAATTCCAGAATCCGAACCGCACGTTTTGCTGGAACCAGACGGTTGCCATGAAAACGGAACGAAGCGGAAAACCCTGCCCCCCTTCACCAAGGTCTGCAGATTGGAGCGAGCGATGAGTTCGTCCCGTGTCAGGGCGTTGTCTATATAGACGTTTTTGAACTCATTGTTCTTCTTTAGATGTATCTTATTTTCCAGCAGTTTTCGCTTCTGATCTGCGCTCTCAAGTTTGATCATTACTAGACCAGGTTTATCGTCCTTGCGAGATTTTCGTTCTGCACTGATTGCGCGGACATCACTAAGTTTAAGACCGTCCCTGAACACTTGATTGACCCGGTTACACAGAGTTTTTGGGTCGTCCGACTCACGTTTGCCCACCCTGAGATTGCGCATCACAACACAACACTGCCTGTCGTCCCCTGTTATCGTGGTACTCGACTCGATCCAGGCAATTCTCTGTTTAATTGCATTCAGGGTTTCTTCGTTCTGATTAGCCTCGCATCTGAATGAACGTTCCACGCTTTTAACCTTATCTGTGAGTACCTGAATTTTGTCGTCGAAATCCTTCTTCAGTTGTGCGGTTTCCGCTTTCAGAGCATCCTTCAGTCTGGCTGTGACACGATTTTCCATCGACTCTATTTGCGTCATCATATCACACCTGAGAATGTTAATCGCACTAATTATTATATCCGCGTTCGATATTGTCACGACAGCATTTTGGAACGTGTCACAGGTGCCTATTTTCAGACGTTCGGACGCAGTAGGTTCACATATATCGTCACTGAGCACAGATTCATTGTTCTTAGACATCACTGCATCGACATAGGCTGGCGAATCCATGAGTGAATCGCACATTGTGTGACGAAATTTTCTAAGTTTAAAAACTCTTCAAAATCAATCAATATGGGGGAAAATAAAGTGGGTAAAGTGGGAAAATAGACACCCAAAACTTAGCAGTAGGGTGTATTTAGTACTTTTAGGTCAATATTTACCACTTTTGGCGATGGATGCCTGTTTAAAACGTGGATTTAAACTTCAGTATTCGTGAGCGACAAAAACCACGTCTTGACAGGTCAGGGGACGTAACTCTGCGATTATATACTTCAGAATGACTTTAATTGACCAATCACAATCCAGTGTTTACTGATGTCATGGTAGAATACGCGGTAATTGGCTGTGCAAGCTATCCAATCGATCGAGGAGAATTGCCGTCACTCAGTTTCCCACTATTGGACAGCCTATCAAGTCCTTGTCTTAAACTTGTGGTAAGAGAGGTGGACTGAGACAAAGCGAACCAATGTGAATATAGAAGCTGGTGTTATGTTGGCTATTGTAGGAATGTATGCCAGTGCACGAATGTGATGTGGACAGTTAAGAGTCATGGTCGTTCGACCTCTCGCTCCTTGACTTTGCGATCCTCGACGGACCAGGCGAGTCAGGGCACACATCCCCCAGCACAACATGGAACGTCAATACATTTAAGCAACTGTTTTATGGTCAACGGGCGCCCGTACACAGTTACTACAACTCAATTTGTCCAAGGTCATTAAATCATTGGATCTACCTCAAGTGCAGTAAAATCTTGTATTTTATCTTTAAACTCTTTTAGTGTTACGGAAGTTCATCTGCCGTGTTTTCCTGGTGGTCTATAAACTTGTCATTGAAGAATGATGGTTTCACTCTACACTCCTTATCAAATTCTTTGCCCACACCAGTAAACTGTCTTGATATTAAAATATCAGTCATGTTAACAGTCATGACTTACCCGACCGGGGACCCATTCACTGCTAGGTGAACAGAGGCTGTTTTGAACACACTGAGATGTCTAAGGTGAGACCACATGTGTATTTCCGTGTGGGGCAGGGCTTAAGTCCTAGAAACCCTCAGGAGTCAAGCTGCCGAACACGGTCACCAATCTAAGGTCTGTTCGTGAACAAAGTTGCTTAACTTCACCTGATTTGTGACCTGGGCTCTATTCACAAGACAACAAAAAAATACCAGAAGTTGGATGCAAGTGTTAAATCAGACACAACCCCCAATATGGCCTAATTTGAAAAGATTCCTTGCCCTGATCGCTTGCTTGGTGAGTGAGTGAGTGAGTTTAGTTTTACCCCGCACTCAGCAATATTCCAGCTATATGGCGGCGGTCTGTAAATAATCGAGTCTGGACCAGACAATCCAGTGATCAACAGCATGAGCATCGATCTGCACAATTGGGAACCGATGGCATGTGTCAACTACGTGAGCGAACCTGACCACCCGATCCCGTTAGTCGCCTCTTACGATAAGCATGGGTTACTGTAAGTTCATTCTAACCCGGACCTTCACGGGTCTTTCTTGGTTTACAAATGTTTTCACATCGCAGTCATGATCGAAAGAGGGTTACTTTGAACATGATTGTAGGCGGATGTCAATATTGAACATGATTGTAGGCGGATGTCAATATTGAACATGATTGTAGGCGGATGTCAATATTGAACATGATTGTAGGCGGATGTCAACATTGAACATGATTGTAGGCGGATGTCAATATTGAACATGATTGTAGGCGGATGTCAATATTCAGTGAATATACTTGTCAATCATAGGCGAACAATATGTTTTGCTTCAAGTTGTTTTATTTTGTATAAATCATTCACAGGAAACATCATACTAGAAAACACAGTAGATTTTGTGTTTCTCTAAGTTGGCACCAGAAAATGGTAAAAAATATCTCGCGAATTCCACAATCAAATATACATGTTATGTACAATATTAACAAACTATTTACATGTGCGCGCATGATATATGTACAGATGGTATATATCAATGGGGAAGCAGGTAGTTGTGTTTAACAAACTCGTTGAAACTACAATCATTTAGTGTTCTTGTAAAGTCGAAATCTTTTTAAAAATATATAAATTTTTGTAAGGTCAGAATATTCATGGTCTATGAAAGAACAAAACACTTTTACAATAATTGTCCGTCCTGTTCAAAGTGTTCGCAACATTTACCTATACGTAAACATGTCGTACAAATCTCTGTGCGTACACATAAATGCCTGTTTTTGGCGTTCTCCAGTTGATGCAGTTACGCCACATTTACGCATGCGTAAAGTTACGACTCTGAAGATGGAGTGTAAACCACGGTTTACTCAAACTGGTACTTGAGACATTCGTACTTCTTACAGCTGCATCCGGTTGGGATGGTGACGCGGGTTCTGCGGCACTGCTTGATCTCGCCGGGACAGAAGACGTAGATGTCACGTTCAACCATGCCGTCGGGGACGCAGTAGTGGTGTTTCACCTCCGTTGTGTCCATGACGCAGTGACCTCTGGAGAAAAGAGAATAATTAGATGAGGAAGAATATCGTCTGATTTGATGATACATGATAAAATACGAGCATAATAATGATAGGCCACATTGTTGCAAAATAGTTACTTCAAAATTTAGCGGAGAACTTTGCTTAACTCAAACAGCTCAAATCCCAGGTCTATAAATATTCTCAAACCGACGTAAAACAAAAGGACAATTCTGACTGGTTCGTTAAAATTATGAACCAAACATCCTGCGCGTTTGCGGGAGATATTGTTTTCAATTTCTATTATTCCCAAAATTGATTTATAGGAACCGCGTTTATTGCACTTTGGTTTGAAATGTTCCCGGAACCCATGACTACGATATCGTAAATACTGCATTTATGAAAGCTGGACATGTTTGACCAAGATGCCGAGTGTGTGACGTACCCGCATTGAGCGACATCCACTCCCTGGGCTTCAGGCATGATGACGTAGCAGACCTCTCGGCGTCCGCTCTGGGTGTTGGTCCACCAGATTCTCTCCAGGAGCTCGGTGTCCTCGGAACACAGATCCTTGTAGCGGTAGGCGGGGTAATGACTGGAATACCACAAATATTGTTAAAAAACTCTGTAGTTTATGCATTATAGTTATCAGCGTGCCAGAATAAATGGCTGTGTGATATCGAATTTCAGCAACAATACAATCCGAGCAGGCAATATCCAGGCAAGGAATTGGCAGAATCGAACTAGGTTTCTGGGAATGACCGACCATTTAACCAGAAGGCCACTTCATCACCCTGTTTACAAGTGAGTCGTATGGAAGTTGGAGATGAGATCACAAATCCTTTCTATCACATCATTTGGTACTATTGTCAGTTCAGATCAAACACGGAAATGAGTGTATTGCAAAGGTAAATTAAACGTAATTATGTAAGAATGACAACTGTTGGCGATTAACTGAGAGAGTTAACGTCCCTTTGAACAGGTCTTTTTTTTTTGCTTCGGGATAACATATACACCTACCCAGTGGCATTCATCTTGTTGTGGAGGTAGCAGCCTTGCACCAGCAACATGTACTCCATTGCGTCGGGGTCCTTCTCCAGGGCGCTGAACACACGGTCACTGGAACAAGCACGTTACCATCAGCGTCAGTCGTCTCATACTTACACAGTTATATAGGCAGGAGAGGTACGTTGCAGCTTCACAAATGTGTATTTCGTAAAATTATACAGACACGGGGATCGATCACGGACCATATAGATATGAAAGGTGGTGCATTTACATCTTGGCCATCCTGTCTTACTGTTTAAGGTGTACAACATTAACGGCAGCAATGAAACATTTTCGAAAATAGGAGTAACAACTTTTACCAAAACCGACAGATATATGCTATGATACAAACCCATATTAGGAAAAACACGTCAGAGCATGCGTATATTATACAAAATACTCAAGACAAAATGCGTACACTGGGTACTTGTAGGATTTGTCAAAACACAGCTTCTCCTTGGTAGGCCATTCGTACTGTGGGACGCCATTTGTGTCAAAGTAGCAGATTGGCTGTTTGGTCTTGGAGGAGAGGTGGCTGAAGATGCTGGAGCCGTCACGGATGCGGGCCCCAAACAGGGACGACTTTTTTGATTTCAGGAGGCTGGCGAATCTGCTGGATGTGGAACCACCCAAAGAACGCCCGTTGACGGAGGGACTTTTCCATGCCAAGCTGACGGCAGCCAGAGACACGAGAATGCATAATGTCTTGAGAACCTGCTGGAAGAAATGAGAGAAACAGTTGTTGAAAATTAGAAGATAAAGCTACTCTGTTTTCAATTTTGCGGTCCTTTCTCGTTGATTTAAGACCGCTAAATGTAATTTAAAAACCGAACGCGTTAGCGTTTTAATTAAAAATTCCTACTGATCAAGACATTAGCATTGTACACATGCTGTAGCTGTTGACACTAGTACCGCGATTACTACTATTACTGTTGCTGCTGCTGTTGTTGCTGATGATGCTACTGCTACCAAAGATTAAGATAGCATTTGCGAACGTAGTATATATATTAGTTGCAAGATAATATTGTATAAGATCTATACTTCTGTTAAAACTACTCAGAACATAAACGAACATTCAAGGTATTACAAGACATTCAAGACATCGTTTACAAAATATTACAAAATTTACCACATTTACAAATACAATACCAGTCTATGTTAAAATATTTCTGTTGCTACTGCTACTGTTACCAATTATTAGGATAGCATTTGCGAACGTCGCAAAAAAATTAGTTGGAAGACAATACTGGATAAGATGTATACATCTGTTAAAATATGAACGAACGTTCAAGACATTAGCACAGTACACAAAATATTACAAAATATTCTACTTACCATATTTACAAATACAAGACCAATCTATGTTAAAATAGTTACTGTAGCTGTGTACAGCGATGGCTGACTTGCTGGGATCTTACGCTTGCTTTTATTCCTTCTCGGTTTAGAAGGCGGAGCATATTTCAGCCAATCAGAAGAGGCGTTTTGCTTGAGTGCTTCTGACGTCACACGGCTACACTTCTTCCTCCGTATTACCTCACTGCCTGACAGTTACCTTGTTAATCAATCAAACTTGATGAAATTTACAATTATTCTTGACGCAAGCGAATAACAATAAGTAAGAACGTTGCCCTACTGACAAAGTCGGCAGACGACACCTGTTATTCAATGTCAATTCAGTTACTTTTATCTAGGTTTTCTTACGTCCTCCAACGCTGATGTGTACGAATGCGCATTTCAGTTAAAAAAATGTTTTGTGGGTAGATTTAGATAGATTAGATAAAATCATGTATTTGAAAAGTTCGCTTAACTTCTATGTACATGTAAATAGAAGTGTATTTGCATCATGGTCACTTTCTATTTTCTTATTTGTTGAACGAGGTAGTATTGGTATAAAGGGTTTGTTTATATGTACTCACTCTGTCCTATATCATAAACACCAAAAACGGGATATAATACAAATACGTAATATTAAAAAATGCTGATTTTTATGCGTGTAATTATTTGCGTTTAGCCCGAATGTTCAGGGGTAGATTTGGATGTATTGCCTAGTTCTCAAAGTCACTTAACGGAGAAAATATGCATGTTCACATGTTCACTGAAGTTTGTTATCCGGGTCAGCTTATTATCGGGGTCAGATATGTATTTTTCATGCCCCTCGTGATCCACACATCAAATCCATATTTTCAAATGTCTGGTTTCTAAGACTTTCTTTCCGGGTGTAGAGGTCACTTCCTGGACAAGACGTATGTGTCACATACGTCAAACTGACCACTAACGAAAAATGACAAATCACGACACTATCTTACTTCTTAGGACAGTCACTGTAGATGCCGTACGCATATATCTTAGTAGATGGAGGCATCTGGTTAGGTACTGACAGGTGGCTTATGGTAACACAAGATGTTGTGGTGAATGGCAATATTTACACATTCTTTATGCCAATAATATGTTAATTAGTTAAGTTTTTCCATTGTTTTCGTTGTGAATATCTTGAGATACTTTAGAGAAAATATCTGTTTCAACAATACAATTAATCTGTTTCACTTAGGAAGAGTGACATGGAGGTATTGATAATTGTTGTGGGAGTGTTCCATTTATGGTCATGTTTGTTTCATGTACAAACATGAATATCTGTTATTCATTTTTTAAATATTTAAATATTTTTTGATAATTGATTACGCGGTACGATTCGTACAACACACATAGGTTGCTCACGATCAGTTCTTAACAGAGTTAATCATAACCTTAAATTATATATAGTTAGACTGACTCATAACAATAACAATAATCTGTGACAGAAGGGGACACTTTCCGTAATAACTCACGACGCTGAGATGTACATCTACATGTAGTTCGTATGTTGGGCATTAGTTCATTTGTCAGTTTTCCTTTTTAATTTTTACATGCTGTTAATACAAACTGTGTTGGTGACAGGGGACAGTGAGTGAGGTTTTGAGTCTATTTTAATCTGTTTTAGCAATATTTAAGTAATATCGTGACGGGGAACATCAAAAAGTAGCTTCAGACACTGTATTCACATGGGAGTCGAACATAAGCCTTCAAAGTGATTACCTACGGCAAGGACACGAAATGCTTATATTATTATAGCATCCTTTTCGCGGACACCTTGTGTCTTCGTCCACTTCCAATGGTTCTTTCATGTAACTGTCTCCACTATTGGTTTTGCCTTTTTGGATGTATTTCGACAGAAACTATTTATTCTCTGGGGTTATATTTTCGTATTGTATGGTTTAACATGAAGTGACATCTTTTTACATAAAACACTCAGGAACTTAGTATGTGTACACACATATATTCTCAAAAAGTCATGTAAAAGTACATAAATTACATTCAAAGTTATTAAGTATTATATTGTATTGTCATTAAATCCATTATCGTGGTATGTTTTTTACATAAATATTTTGAGATGCATCTATATATAAATGTCTCCATAGGATACAGTCTTCTGTAGTTAAGTCAAAGAAAAATAATCCACACATATAGTTCCAGATGATTATGAGCACAGACTGAACATATGGTTCATAACATTATTATAGCCCCTTGATGGCACCGCGGTCAACAAGTACAATATAGGATTGTATTTGGTTGTAACACGTGCTCCATCAACATTTTTAAATGTCAATAGTAAATCCCCATTCTAAACACTGATAATTGACGTCACACCACCGCTTTGTTTCTGCTTCAGGTTTATTGGCTGTGTTTCCCTCTTAGAATAGAGCATGTCATGATTTACGCAAGCTGAATCCGTAAATAACGTTTAAAAATATACATGATTGATGGGTGAACTACAAATGAATGCAATTAATGTCTCAGAGAACCGCTTACATTTCTCCTTAGTCATTGCTAGCTGAAAAATACAAAACAAGGTGTAAAAAGACCCTTTGGCGTTAAATATATATTTGAATTGTCTCGTTCAACAGTCTTCAAGATTTGTACCTAAATCGTATAGTTGTGAAAAAAGTAAATAAAACAAAAACGACAAGGAACATCGTAATCAATCAAAACTCCAGATCTTCCTTGAAAATTGTGCGTCATGTCACTTCATGTCACCTATGGTTGTGTTTATGTGAAACATGACAACATGACATTGCATAAATACTGAATAAATGAATATGTTCATGTCTCAAATAGGTATTTCTGCATGTATTATAATACTTTAGGCTCATAAGTTGGATGTTTTCTTTAACGGAAATACAATGAAATGTTTAAATCCGTTTGTATTTGAATAAACATGTGCAGTCCTCAGGTGTACGAAAATGGCATGACTGTGATGTCAACAGAAAAATATATAAAAAGCGTGTCCGATAGTCAGTTATGAATATACCCCATGGCACCAGGAAATCTGAAAGCGCATAATGTCAGGCTCAAAGTGAAATATATCGTTTTTAACGTGCAGAATATGACGTCATTCGCTCGTAAACCCAAAGAATAATCCCAAGACTACTGCAACCCAGAGGATCCGACCGATCTGACTACAAGCCATTATTTACTCAACTCCATGAGAAGTAGATAATCCCCAAACCCTGCCTTCAGAGGATGACTTTCACCTGTGTACAATATTTCTTATATACACTTCATATATATATATATATACAAATCAAACCAAAATACAATTTGTCAATACTCTTGCAGAAATTCTGCCAGTTTCAAATATCATTCCTATTTTACAAAGTGAATGACTGATTTAAAATGTTACGTCGCATCGGCATTATTTCAGCCATAAAGCTACTCTTCTACAAAGTAAGTTAGACTTGCATTCAGAGAAATGCTCGCATGCGTGTAAAATAAAACCAATAGGCCTTGTTGTTCGGAGGTGATTGGTTCAAGTTCAAGTGGCTTTGCCACATTTCTGCATTCAGTAGCTACATCTTTCCATCTTTCGTTGGTGCCGTGAGAGAAATGCACCCTGGCTGTACCCTCCGCCAACCTGAGGGTAGTAAACGCTTCCTCCTTTTTCTCTTCCTTTTTAGGCAGCATAGCACTTTAGTGATAGCAACGGAACTCGCTTAGAACTGTCATTCAGTGATATACACGTGACAGCTATATTTTGGAGAAAACTATCGAATTTCATGCGTTTATGGTGTCTGGAACAGGGGCGTAGCTACCATTATAAAAAGCCCTGGCTTACACATGATTCTTGCTGAAAGGCTGCGCAAGCCCTCAATACTATCTACATATAAACTTTGCAACCTATCGGGCTTTCACAAAATTGGCTTGCTACACGCCTGTGGAAGAAACCAGGGGCATGAATGACGCGGACAGACTAATGGCTTTCGCGGCGATATTTAGAAGCTTACAATCTACAAAAATGCGTGTTTAAAATGTTACTAGTAACTTGTTACATCGCTATTAGTTAATGAGATGGAAAAATATCCCCAACTGAACGGATTTTTTCCAAAATGTTATTATCAATGCTATATTTGTCTGTATTTATATTCACGTGTAGAAAACGGGTGACCAATTTAGTGCATGTCAATAAAAATAGAAATATATATAAAAAGAGGAAGATAATAAAATCAATAAAGGTGGTTCTGTCACAATATTAACTGGCTTCCACTGTAACTGAATGTTAACATGTTCACTAATGCCTAACGATGTGTACATCTAAGACTGGAAGAGTTATGTCCCCTGGCTATTTAAATCTCCACGGCAATCTCAAAATCGTCCACAGGGCTCCTCCGAATGTTAAGCCTGGGTTAAAATTGGGTTGTGTATGGTGCTAATTAATGAATATCGGAGCTAATATTTTTATCCGTGTAACGAATTACTAAAAGTATTTTGCAACAAAGTCATTGGCGTCACTTCTAAACATCGCCATCCGTCCTTTCAGCCAGAGAGTTGGAATCCTATCCCTAACAGAGGGGCATCATGCTGATATCGGCTTCTTGTTTATATGTGTTTATCTTAGTCAACAGAAAACAGCTAACACACGCATACTAATAAGTTGTATAAATGGGCGAATTAAGTGTTATTATTTATTAAACGTTGCCGGTTATTTCTACATTTTAATTGCTTCATAACTGAATAATAACGAATGGTTCACATGTTTTAACTACAAGCGCATCTAAGGCAATATTATGTATTTATGTTTGTACATACTAATATGTACGAGCTATATACATGTAATGTCCTGGTCTGAGTCTTGAAAGGTTCGGGTTGTACAGATTCTACAAGTTCTCTGAATGAGGTATATGTGATATTTTGATTAATCGATCGTTAATTATAACACTCGTGGATCAGGCTAGTTATGCCATTTATTTACATCTCCAGTGACAGGACGAAAGTAATACAAAATACAATCCAATTGCATGTAATTTGCTCTTCATATGACGACTTTAGTATGCCCCTTCTTCTCATATGTTTAGGAACACAGTGTCTTTTACTTATTTCCAATTATTTTGAAATATACTGGTAGATTTATTCCAAGTTTGTATCATATAAGGTAAAACTTTGTGTAAAATTTTGTGTCTTGCGCACATATCCATGACAATTTTGGTATGGTTTGACTTTGCAAGTGATGGATGCGCAGTACAATCCCTCTAGCCATAACACGGTCGGAAGAGTTATCTCCCCTTGTTTCTTAGTCGTATAATTCATGTGCGATTTGAAGTTCTTAGTGGCGAAAGTAACGGACAAGTTTACTTGAAACTATATATCTTATAAATACACCAAGCTTTGAATATGCAGGAACAAGGCGGTAGGTGCTGAAGACCAATTCTAACTCGGATCGCCACAGGTGTCGACGTCGGTGGACACGCTGTTTTCCATCTCAGCGTTGGAGAAGACATCCACTGCCAGTCCATCTGTCTACGGTGTTTCTCCATGGTCGTTGATGCAAACGTCTCAATATCGATCTTCCGGGTCCAATTCCCTACAGTCACAGGGAACTCACGATTGTTTGGTCCGATACCGATCTAATGCAGGTGGTGAATCTTGGTCTACCACGTCTCGATGAATTGAGGAGGTTGTGCCAATCCCATGAAATAATGCTCTGCTGTATGTTGAAATGACGTCACTGGTTTGTCTGATTCAAACTCGAACATTTACAGATTGTTGTGGTACATCTCGAATATTGTTGTCTGGGATGTTTCAATTAACTCAACGCAATACCTACACCGCTGATGTGATACAGTCTGTAAAATGTCGGATCATGTTGAGAACACAATGATAAAAAAGCATACATAATACATCCATACAGTATGTGAGCGAGTCGAGCTTTATGCCGCTTGTAGCAATATGAAAGCAATATCACGGCGGGTGACACAAGACATGCTTTTCACACATTGTTTGTTTGTTGTTTAACGCTGCACTCTATATTACAACGGTCTGTAAATAATCGAGTCTGGACCAGATAATCCATTGATCAATATCATGAGCATCGATCTATACAATCTGACAATTATAACCCGGAAAATCATTGTACCCATGTTTGAAATCCACTCCGAACGCTTTAACAAGTATCCCACAACCAACAATATGCGATAGAACAAGGAAATAGGAATACCATCAGTTGAATATATTTTATTTCTAAAATATATATTTCATACATATCAAATAGAGCTGTGCAAAAGCATACAATCAAACCGGCTCTATTACTATGGGACAATGGACGGACCTCGTTGTGGACAACCACAGCCTCATCAAAGCCCTCACATAGATGACTCTGGAACTTCAATAACTGGTCTGTAAATGCGATTAATTTAACGTTGGACACAGTTTAAAATGCGTAACATAACAAAACTTTCCTTGTTATAATATACAACCAGGTGTACCAGATTTTCGTTCAATCGTAATTGTCTCCAAGATTATGAATCTGTTACACTGACATGGTGAGGGCGGTGTCCTCATACACTGATACATCTACCACACTGCTGGGATGTGTCCAGTTTGTGTTGTAAAATATTCATTTAGTTCTTAATTATTGCTTAATTATTGCTTCTAAAATACTATCAATTCAATCATAATTCAATCCACAACACTTTTTTACATAGCTGCGGAAACTAACTTTTTAAAATACGAAATAACTGTTAAAATGCTTTGTTTATACCATATGGTTTGGAAACTTTGGACACGGAAGCTTATCCTGTTATACAAAGTTCGATACAAGCGAAATGCCTATTGTAGATTATGCTGTGACCCAGTAATTACCTCGAAATCAACTCTATTGTCTGAGTCAATATGGGCTTACGCCGCTTTTTGCAATAGTCCAGCAATATTGACGTGGTGGACATGCTGTTCCTAGCAATAATCGAGCCCGGTAGCTTTCACAGGGCTACCCCACCGCCCCGTAACTATATACCAGATTAAGGACCTCGAGGTAAAACACGGTGACGCTGTGTGAGATAGGGATTGAGTAAGTGAGTGAGTTTGGTTTTACGCTGCTTTTAACAATATTCCAGAATAATCACGGCGGGGCACACCAGAAATGGGCTTCACACATTGTATCCATGTGGGGAAGCGAACTCGGGTCTTCGGCGTGACGAGCGAACGCTTTAACCACTAGGCTACTCCACCGCCCCCATACGCATTGGGCTATTGTGCTTCCGATATGTTCACAGCTGAAGTTATACCGGGATGAATAGGACGTAGGACCACGTGTCCATGTGTTAACATCCTTATAATGCCCTGTCAAGAAGGAGTGAGTGAGTGAGTATGGTTTTACGCCGCTTTTTGCAATATTCCAGCAATATCACGGAGGGGGACACCAGAAATGGGTGTCAGGAAGGAGAAGATAGTGGATCAACATACACAAATGCTCAGTGAAGCTACATAACCTGGTGTGGCACTGTGTGAAAAATCATCTCGTTAACATGAAACTCATACTCTTTCGTCATCTTGTAAAGTGATACGAATATACAAGCTAGAATGAATTATGTGCCATGACAATTCAAAAAGAATCACGAGTTTTCGTGTTTATACTGTTTTAAGATTCTGACGTGGAAAGGAACCCCATGCAAGCTTTACGCTTTGTATCAATATGGGGAAACGAACACAGGCATTTAACTTGACGACCGAACACTTTAACCACTAGGTCAAGCCATGACTCCCAAGCCATGTCATGAATCATGTGGAATTTAAACGTTATCATAAAAAGTTGTCTTAATCTTGATTGAGTGGTTGATAAAATCTCTTTTATGGGATGCTGGTGACACTGTATCAATGTTATGATGAGGCTATCAAACATCATCCCCCGTAACAGCTTCATCCTTAAAACTGGAACAACTGTTATTCGAATACCTTAATCCTTCTGTCGACATTTGGTCCCTGTACAACATAATACTATAATCAAGAATTCCGTGAAGATAGCCCATCCTCCGCCTTGGCATTTACAGCAACGAACGGCAGCTTCGGTTCCATCATTCCCCGTCCACCGAGCTCCCCCTTCCTCGCCATGTCACTCATGTACGTCTTTTCCCGCGTCAGAGTCTGCTCCTGCCTCAACGACAGACGAACGGGATCGTGTGTCCGTCTGGTCGGCAGCACGATATCAGGTCTGTCGGAAGGTGATTCCCGTGGAAGGCTAATGGTCACTTTCCTTGAATTCGGCTTACTTGAGGTGTCGGAATCCCATGAAATATCTCTGGCAGATGACTGTGAATCTGACTCTCGCTCATTCAGATCAGCAGATGAGTCTTCCACACATAATGAAGCAGTCCTAAAATTCCGAACGTTCTTCCGCCACGGGTCGTCATCTTTACTTTCGTCATTTTCGGAATCGTTGTTGAAGTCTGTCATACTCGGAAGTCTTATCACACCTTCACTATCAACGTCTTTGGATTCGGCTTTTGAGGAATGTGTGGTTTTGACTTGTGGTTGAGATGACCCTAAACGTTTGTTGGGAAGGCGATACTGAAATTTAGCGAAACGTTCCCCTCGTCGCGAGTGTGAGTAAGCGGGGACAGGTGAGCAACAGTTCCTCATGGAGTCCGTCTCATCATCATCCCTAGAGCATCCCGTAATGAGCAAACGTTTATGAGCAGACGATATGGGATGACTTTGTTTATTGCGGGTCACATGGGTGAACTCGTCTGCGTTTGGAGCCATCGTCAGGAACCGATGCAGACGGAATTCTCGCGTGGTTTTGAAGGAAGAACGGTTAGCACTTTCAGAAGATCTCGTTACATCATCTGCATCTCGTTTTGGTCTTTGAGAACGTTTCTTTATAACTGGAGTGGTTGGATTGATGGTTGTGAAAGATATACTAGTCACCTCCCTCCTGAACGGTAACATGGGTGGAAAATTTACGTCCTTCATCGCATCACCAGAGTCTCTTAGGGCGATCTTAGAAGGAGAGGTGCTTGGGTATCCACTCTGAACACGGCGTTCCAACTTCTTCGGACTCTGAACAGGAGAAGACTCTGCTTCTTTTGTCTGTAAAAATCGAATGACTTGTTTCATGTTGAGCTTATCTGGGTCGTTATCGTTGATAGGGGTGGTGCTCCTGGGCAGCTGGTTCACATTTAATTTATACTTCTTATTTTTCTTATTGTCCTTCATAAATCCATCTCTGTGTTTCTGAATTTCCATTTCTCCTGGTGTCAAGGTAACCGACCTCCAGAAACCGTTCTGGGGCATGAAGTATCGCCCGTCCAGCGCCTTACACGGGGAAGGCTTTGGAAGAACCTTAACATTTTTCGGAACATCTATGGTCGACAAACTCTCACATGAGCCTAGAGATTCCGACAGGTCAGGCGTTCGAATCACAATTTGATTATTCACGGTAGTCACAGTGTGGTCACTTTCTGTCGTCTCTAACGAGTTGGTCACACGGGAATTATACTCCGATCTTGCTCGTTGGGGAGGAAAAGTGATTCCAGTTGAGGAATATTCTCTAGGCCTTCGTTCAGATGACACACGGCGGGGTTTGGCCCCGTCCCTTCTGCCCTGTGGTCTCGTTACGGCCAGGGTGGGGAACCCCCTAGCCTGGCCATACCCTCGAGCGTTATCTGCATGTAGAGTAGGAGTCTGGGATGCATTGTTGCTTGAGAAGGGCATCAGTTGCAGGACGGTCGGCTGCCAGTTGTCAGTCATCAAAATGGCGGCACTCATCTTGTCCATGGAGCCTCTGTTAAAGTTTGCTACAAAGTCATGGCGAGTAACGATGTGTCCATACACGTTAAGCATCCATGGGTATCTACAGATGTTCCGTTGGATCCAGTATCAATTCCGTTTGTATATTGCAGCGCATGTGATACTTTTTGCACAACTGTTTGTTTCCTGATCCAGTCATCGTGGAGATTACTGACAGCTACACAGCTCGTCGTTGTTCCTACAAACAAAACAAAACATTAGATGGTTTGTTACAAATAATTCAAGGACGATATTTTGCCAGTGTCAACGTTAACGGAAAGGTCCTGACAGTTGTGTTTAGTAGTATTAAACGATACGTATATACAACACTGAAGCAGAACATTATTATAATATATTATTAATAAAAATGGTTATGAATTAAGCCTAAGGTAATGATCTTGTTCTTAAAGCATGCTACTGATGGTAACGCCGCCATACGCCAAGCTATTACCAAAATGGTGCCCAGAAGGGCGTCAACACCCAACCCGACTTATTTCATGCGTTCATTATAATTTGCCAGTATATACACTCCACCCATACATTGACCTTCAATTCCAATCCATCAATACCACTAAAATACTTCAAGCATAGAAGATCTATCAACATGCTGTAGACATCAAGTTCTGAACTGACAACAGCACACGTTGACCTTCTAGAAAACCACACAGTGAAGTCACTCTAACCGCCGATACTCCAAACAGCTTATACTAAGTAGAGTCAACAAGGGTCACTCACCATAGTGAGTAATAATACACCCAGTGTTCTAAACAAGCTCATCTCCTTTCCCACTCAACTCATTTCCCGTATGAAGTTGTCCTTACTACGATAGATCACTGAAACGGCTAATTACAAATACAACACAGGATTCCTATATTGTTTGCCATATGTTATCAGTTTACACAACCCTTGAACCTTCAGATGGAATCTGTGTTGAAACAAGGCAGTGCGATCAGGAACACCATCGATCAGGAGAAATACCTGTGTCGTTCTGACGCGCTGTTCTTTTGTCCGTTAATGTTCTTTGAGGACAAAGTCGTTGATGAGTGCTGTCGGCCGAGGTCGGGAGAAATAGGGAGACTTTATTGAATACCTGTCGACTACACTACAAGATAATGACATACAAATCCCCGAGTAGCCGGGAAAGTGGGCCTGTCTCTGTGTCCGTCTACGTCATGATCCCAGTTAGCTTGACATGATCGAGCCACTCACTTTACAACACCAGATGGAACGAACTAACAAATACCAGTACTGCTGTGACAGTAACAATTAACGTAATATAAGGTAATCCTGTGACGCGAATCTATATTGAAATGTCGCATCATTGTGTAATATAGAAAATGTCTTCCATAAACTTGCCTTCTTTTCTTGTTACTCACCATCTCCTAACATGCCAGTCAAACAGATGAACTACTTTGAGAGATGAAAAGGCCATGCTCAGGGTCATATTGGGGAAAGTGCTTCTTTTGGAAAGAAAATATCCCATTCAAAACATCTAAATGACAAAGTCCTATATTGTAGTAAATGATTACCAAAACAATCAATAGAAGACATTGACATTCAGTATGTTACTTGCAAGAAGTGGGGCGGTGGGGTAGCGTAGTGGTTAAAGCGTTCGTTCGTCACGCCGAAGACCCGGGTTCGATTCCCCACATGGGTACAATATGTGAAGCCCATTTCTGGTGTCCCCCGCCGTGATATAGCTGGAATATTGCTAAAAGCTGCGTAAAACTAAACTCACTCACTCACTTGCAAGAAGTGAATATGATATTTTACCTCTCAACCCCAATATAGTGACAATGTATGTTTTGGGGAATGTCAGTTTAATGAGTGTACCCATGTTTATTTGACCAGAACGATTGGAGACTGCATACTAACGAAAAGCACAAATCGCTCTCTCCCCCACCTTACATCTCTACTGTCCTAAAGTTTAAATGAGATAGAAAAAAAATAAATTCAGACACATACAGAAAATTTTATAGCATGGAGAAGAATAGTCGTCAATGTATTTTTAAAACAGTTGTTTGCGTGTTCAAACCCATGAGTGGTTGCAGGTGGCTTGTCACAGTCGGGAGCTGTGACTGGTGACGATGATAGTACATAGAGATCCATGAACAGGCTTTCGTTGAGGGGAGCTTACTACATATACGACTGCCAATAACGCTTATAGTAGTACAGCCAGCATTCCTATGTGTTCACTCTGGTACTGCTGGAACACTGCTTGACGAAGACCCACCTAGCACACAACGCCAAGGAACATCTACCTTCCTACATGGCTGAACGCACCTGCTACCTAGTCGCTTATCTCCCACATTTGACGCTCGGACACCCATGTTTGCCAGATATAACGATAGCAGCAAATCCATTCACGATATCAATGAAAACATTATGTCTGAATAGGATCTGTTTGGCCAAGTCAATCGCTGAGACAGACACCCGGCTGTGCGTGTTATTGAATTGCGTGGTAGTCTTTGTGTTAAAAAAGGTTGATTGGAACGTCTGGAGATCTTCACCAAGTACTCTGCGATTTGTACAGGCTTATTGTTAAGCATTTGGATCTAAGCATATGAGTTTTCGTATTCGTCACCTGCTGGTATTAAGAGTTCTATTGGCTTTATGTTTAATTCTACGTAAATATCAGTATTAATGCTTGTGGGCACGGGTGGCTCCGTCGTCTAAGGTGTAATTCGCTATGCAAAAGTTTCCCATCCTTTCGTTGAGCTGTGACCTGTAATTATAGGTTCGAATCCCGGATTCGAAAAGCATTTGTTAAGACTAAATAAACAACTCTTATTCAAACGTTACCACTCGAATTCAGTGCGCATATTTAGAGTGAGTGAGTATGGTTAGCAATATTCCAGTAATACCACGGTGGGGAACACCTGAATGGGCTTCACATGCACCCATGTGGCGAATCAAACCCGGTTCTTCGGGGTGACGAGAGAACGCTTTAACAACTAGGCTCCCCTACCGCCCCCACATATTTAGATCTCTTATGTCAAACCACTGAGTTGGTTCCATCGACCTTCAGATAACGCTTGAGGTTGTCATACTGAATAAACACAATAATTAATTAAATACAAAGTAACCTTAAAACCCCATACGCAATAAACGTCCATCGAATGTACGAGTTTAAGTACAGTAAGATATTACCACTTTAAGATGCGTGTATATCCGTCTCCATGGCAACACTGTCCAGACTTGTATTTGGACTCTCTGACCCATCCAGGCTTATTTATCATGTTGTGATGTCAGGGTTCGGGTGGATGTTGATATGGAAGGGGTGACAAGCCCCTGCTACAAGCCCCTACTGCGACACTGGGCACACAACAATACGGGTCAAGGAGTAGAGATATAACAGTACAATAAAGTTAACGATCATGTCTTTTATAGACTGTAAACCATCGACTTAGTCTTAGAGGTTCTTCGATCCAATAGAAACATGTACTAATCCGACTCGATCTCTCTCTCTCTGTCAAGATTAGACAAAAGCTAGTCACTTTGGAGGCCACACAGGAAGAATTTAAATCAACAGTAATTCTTCTAAATTCTTCTAAATGTAAGCGAAGCATTCAGAGCAGCACGGCTCACCTCTTTATCTCGTAGGTGAACTCGCTCCATTGTGGATATGTCACTGGTTTATCCACCATCAAACATGGCGGTCTACTTTCACTAACCCGGCATTTTATGTCCCTGAAAATCACTGACATAATAAAAACTGATCTTTCATTGAGATCACACAAATAAAGCATTCCACGAGACACGTCCGTGAGGGTTTTCAGAGACATGCATGGATCAGTCGATTCACAATATTCAGCAACAATGTCGTCTCGCCATAACGTCTGTCAAAGATTATTGGATTAATATCAAAGGCGTTTGAAGTCAGACAGAGTATGAACTAATTATATATAAAAAAACCTCACATACCTCACATACAACGCTGATGAGTCACTTTAAGAGAAACAGATAAAAACCACAGTAATCGATATATGCTCCGAGCTATTGTCCAGACAATGTGCTACTTTGTTGTGTGAGTCTGGTTAACTAACATGTAGAAATACGCTCTGAAACTAGTCTAGCAACAAACGTCTAATATTTTGTAGGATTCAGTAAATAGGTAGACGTTACTGACTGGAAATAACCCATGGAGTTATTGTTTGCTCATCCTGAACATCTTCTCCATAAAATCAAGGTATTGTGATAAGAGCCAAAAATACAGGTGATAGTATATTCAAACGTATAGAAACAACCCACTACCACTAGAGAGAGCGTCCGCCCGGAGAGAGGAAAGGTTGTCATACCAAAATACGTAAAAATATTATACCTGTCATATGTCTCCTACGGGAACGCAGAACAAGGCTGCATGGCTTGAAGTCAGTCCGACTTGTCTAGTGTGTTATTCATTTTAAACTGAGGAATATGTCTGAGTGAGCAGTATTGAACTGAAGACCAATAAAATGAGGCACAAACACTCACCCATGAGCAGGTCATGATGTCAGTGAAATACTCTTGAACGCTATGTCACCCTACCTGCATCTAAAGCATATAGCATTTCTTCCACACAAATGTCACGAGGCTGCACCCCATAACGAAATATTTGCGAATAATTATTTGCGTATAATATCCACAACAGATGTCCCATCAATGATTTTTTACATCTGGCCGTGTAAATTTTGTTTTTACTGCATTATCAACAAGCAGAATGTCGAATCATTCGATAACACGCACACAGCCACTCCTTATGCAACACGACAAGGCAACTAGAGCACTTGAAGTAAAACAGTAATGAAACACCATTTGCCGGAACGTGACGAATTCAAAGAAAATTCAGGTCTCTCAATTACCCTGTGACCGATGTAAGTCGGGCCTTCGGTTCATACAAACAATCTAATCGCTGCGGGGTTTCGATCTATCGAACAGGGTCGCAATAATGAAATGCTGAATGCAACAGGAATCAATAGAGACTTATTGCTGTGACGTGTTGTAGAAATGTTTATGACATTAGTGTAGTACTGAAGTGTAAGGCTTGATTATTATAGTGGATAGGAAGATCATCGACGTTATTATTACGCATGTGAAGACAGTCAACATGAACTCCATGCGAAGGGAGTGAGTGAGTGAGTATGATTTTACGTCACGTTTAGCAATATGTCAGCTAATATATCACGACAGGTGTCACCAAAATGGGCTTCACATATATAC